AGCTTAGATATCTACAGAAGGCTTGGCTTGGGACAGCCATACATTGGACTGCTCTTGCTTTAGCTTTAGATTTGGGTTTTTAAAATATTAGGTATAGTTATTATTGACATTGTTTCCCTCCCATGCCACACTCCTTATAAAAATAATACTGTCTCACCATAGGAAACGTGGGTTAAAAAAACACATGTGCAGATCAGTAGTAAGGAAAGACCCAGAGGCAACAACTGTCACCATTTTAGTATGCCTCCTTCTGGTCTTCTTTTCTTTTTGAGATGGAGTCTCACTCTGTCTCCCAGGCTAGAGTGCAGTGGTGCAATCTCAGCTAACTACAACCTCTGCCTCCTGGGTTCAAGCGATTCTCTTTCTTCAGTCTCCCAGGTAACTAGGATTATAGGTCTGCGCCATCATGCCTGGCTAATTTTTGTATTTTTAGTAGAGACAGAGTTTTGCCATGTTGGCCAGGCTGGTCTTGAACTCCTGACCTCAGGTGATCCACCCACATCAGCCTCCCAAAGTGTGGGATTACAGATATGAGCCACCATGCCCAGCCACCTTGTGGTTTTCTTTTTTTACATCTATTTCTGCCCATTGTCAACATCTTATTGGGGATTATTTGATTCTTTCACCCTAATATGCATCATCTTTTTGGTTTTTTGGAGATGGCTTTCACTCCGTCACTTAGTCTGGAGTGCAGTGGCAAAATTGTAGCTCACTGCAGTCTTGATCTACCGGGTTCAGGTGATGCTCCTGCCTCAACCTCCTGAATAGCTGGGATTATGGGCATGCTCGACCACGCCCAACAGATTTTTGTATTTTTTGCCAAGACAGGGTTTTACCATGTTGCCCAGGCTGGTCTCCAACTCCTGAGCTCAAGTCATTCTTCCGCCTCAGCCTCCTAGAGTGCTGGTATTATAGGAATGAACCACCATGCCCGGTCTCATTCTTCTCTTTATGAACATTTTACAAACATCTTTTAAAAAGATTAGATGTTTTAAATAATTTCTTTAAATTACTATTAAAGAGAGTCACTGGGACAGTTGATGTAATTTGTATATGACTGCAGGACACCAGATGCATGCTAATAACATTCATTCTTGTTATGGAAAATTGTGCTCCAGTTACATAAGAGCATGTCCTGGATTGTAAGGGGATACCCCGTTTTTTTGGGAGTAAAGATATGTAGAGTCTATATCTTAGCTTTTTTGAGACAGAGTCTTGCTCTGTTGTCCAGGCTGGAGTACAGTGGCGTGATCTGCAGCCTCTGCTTCCTGGGTTTAAGTGATTCTCCTGTCTCAGCCTCCTGAGTAGCTGGGATTATAGGCATGCACCACCATGCCTGGCTAATTTTTATAATTTTAATAGAGATGGGTTTTCACCATGTTGACCATACTGGTCTCAAACTCCTCACCTCAGGTGATCCACCCACTTCAGTCTCCCAGGGTTCTGGGATTATGGGTGTGAGCTACTGTGCTAGGCCTTTAGCTGTCTGAATGGTTTTGAAAAAGATGATGTGTTTGCATGCGTGTGTGTGTGTGTGTGTGTGTGTGTGTGTGTGTGAATGTGAATGGATAGAGACAGAATGTTACTGTAAACTTGGCAACATGTTAATAGTGGTGAGTTGAGTGAATTCTTAGTATGATTTGAGTAATTTTTCTGTAAGTTTGAAATTATTTTAAAACAAAAAATGAAAGTGTTTAACTTTTTATGTGTTCAGTTGGCCGAGTGTGGTGACTCACACCTGTAATGTTAGCACTTTGGGAGGCCGAGGCGGGTGGATTACCTGAGGTCAAGAGTTTGAGACCAGCCTGGCCCATGTGGTGAAGCCTTGTCTCCACTAAAAATACAAAAATTAGTCAGGCATGGTGGTAGGTGCCTGTAATCCTAGCTACTTGGGAGGTTGAGGCAGGAGAATTGCTTGAACCCAGGAGGCGGCGGTTACAGTGAGCCGAGATTGTACCACTATACCCCAGTCTGGGTAGAGTCACATAGAGAGACTAATATAATAAAAGTAAGTTTATCACCCAGATTTCACTATTGCTAATGTTTTGTCATGTCAGCTTTTTTTTCCCCCCCTTCAACCTGCTTTTTTTTTTTTTTTTTTTTGGGGGGTGGGGGTCTGGCTCTGTTGCCCAGGCTAGAGTGCAATGACACGATCATGGCTCCCTGCAGCCTCCACCTCCTGGCCTCAAGCAATCCTCCCACCTCAGCCTTTTGAGTAGCTGGGACTACAGGTGTGAGCCATTATGACTGTATTTTTTATTTTTACTTTTTGTAGAGATAGTCACCCAGTGTTGCCCAGGCTGGTCTTGAACTCCTGAGCTCACGAAGTCCTCCCACCTCAGCCTCCTGAAGTGCTAGGATTATAGGCATGAACTACTGGTCCTGGCCCATATTAGCCTTTTTTAATGTAAAATTTTTAAAAGTTGACAGGGCATGGTGGCTCATGCCTATAATCCCAGAACTTTGTGAGGCCAAGGTGGGAGGATTGCTTGAGCCCAGGAGCTCAAGATCAGCTTGGGCAACATAGGGAGACTCTGTCTCTACAAAAAATAATAATAATAATAATAAAAATAATTAGCCAGCCATAATTGTTCACACCTGAATCCCAGCTACTCAGGAGGCTGAGGTGGGAAGATCACTCTAGGCCAGGAGCTGGAGGCTGCAGGGTGCTGTGATTATGGCACTGCACTCCATCCTGGGTGACACAGCGAGACCCTGTCACCAAATAAATGAATGAATGAATGAATGAGGCCGAGCATGGTGGCTCATGCCGGTAATCCCAGCATTGTGGGAGGCCAAAGGGGCCAGATTGCCTGAGCTCAGGAGCTTGAGACCAGCCTGGGAAACATGGTGAAACCCCGTCTCGACTAAAATACAAAAAATTAGCCAGGTGTGGTGGTGTGTGCCTGTAGTCTCAGACTTGAGAGGCGGAGGCAGAGGTTGCAGTGAGCCAAGAACACGCTACTGCACTCCAACCTGGGTGACATAGCGAGACTCCATCTCAAAAAAATAAAAAATAAATGAATGAATGATGAAAAAGAGTGAATTAGCGCCATCTTGATATTTCCCTCCTAAATCACCTTTTTTCCCCTAAATCTTTTCTATGCACCCCTGCAAAAGAAAGCCATTTTTCCTTTATGACCCAACAGAATGAGCTGTAATAACCTTGTAATATGTGCAAATGTCTGTCCAAATTCAGACATCCCCAGCTGTGTGGCTGCCTTCATTCACAGAGGGCAGTTGTGCTGGGGAGGGGTGCAGCATCGGCATGCTTGTGGAGTGAGTGAGCCCTGTCCTCCACCTCTCATTGACTCTCATTGCCTAACTCCCTTGTGTCTTGGCCTCAGGTTGATAATCTGGGGCTACCACCAGCCCCTGGAGAGCAGTGGCCTCTGGTCCTTAAACAAGGAGGACACGGTGGAACAAGTCATGCCTGTTTTGGTAAAGAACTGGAAGAAGAAATGTACCAAGTCTAGGAAGTAAGTGTGTTTCCTTGTCCTCTAGAATGCCCCAGTTCCCTCCTTCCCACCCCGGTGGCCTAAATCCAGGCTGCAGCTCTGGCAGTGCTGCTTGTTACTAGCTTTGTGGTTCTCACTTCTCCTCCTGGCTTCAGTTTGTTTTTCTGCCAAATGGGATAAAATCTCACAAGTCAGTAGGGCAACTGAGTAGAAAAGAAGACAGAAGCTGGGTATGTGCCTCAGGGCTGTAATCCCAGCACTTCGCGAGGCCAAGGTGGGTGGCTTACAAGGTCAGGAGTTTGAGTCCAGCCTGGCCAACATGGTGAAACTCCATCTCTACTAAAAATACAAAAATTAGCTGGGTGTGGTGGCGAGCACCTGTAATCCCAGCTACTTAGGAGGCTGAGGCAGAAGAATCATTGATCCCGGGAGGGGAAAGTTGCAGTGAGCCAAGATTGCACCACTGCACTTCAGCCTGGGAGACAGGGTGAGACTCCATCTCAAGAAAAGAAAAGAGAGAAAAACACTGCCCAAGCAGGCAGTTGATGTTGTTTGCCATAGCACATGACTGTCCCTCCTTGAGTCAGTCTCACTTTTTCTGTTTCTTTCTGAGCATCTGGCATCCCATGTGTTCCTGCTGTTTGAAGTGTTTCTGTCCAAAATACCCAGCTGACCCCGTATGTTTGTTTAGCCAAAGAAGCCCCATTTGCAGATGATTTTGGCTGTACTGGATTTTAGACTCTATCCCCTATGTAAAGTGTGCCCACTGCACCACCTGATTCCTGTCATTCTTTCAGGAATCAGGTCAGGGCCTCCACTGCACTTACCTTACTCCTCAAATCTGAGACACCATCAGTTGCATGATACATTATTATTGTGTGTAATAGTAAGAAAGAAAAGCAACTGCCAATTAAACAAGGACATACGATGCATCCCGAGTGCAGATGAGCTGGAAGGTGAAATTGCAAGTGACGTGGGGCAGTGGATTGTGGCCATGAGGGCAGTAGGGTAGCTGTTTTTGTTTCTGTTGCCTGTTTTGGGGTAAGCTTACTATGGTAAGCTGTGACAGAGCCAGCCTGATGCACTGGATTCTCCACAGACCTGTTGGCCTTATAGAGAAATCCTCAGACCCAGGTTCACTTCCTCATTCAATTCCAGGGATGCCCAGGATACAGGCGTTCAGTCAGACCCAGATGTTGCGCGGAAATCTGGGACATCCATGGTGTCAGCCACTAGGACATCAGCAGAGGACCTTGTGACCCTGGTGGGAGCCTGTTTGGGTGATCCAGGTGATGGGAGAAATTGTCTCATGGGAGACAGATAGAGCTTGGGCCTCATGGCTGAGCATAGTAAGGAAATGGCCCATGTCCATGTCCTACTTGAAGGTTGTTGGCCGGCAGAGGCCAACATGGAGATAGAACTAGTAGAATGGATGGATGGATAAATGATAGATTGATAGATGATAGGTAGATGATAGATGGATAGATAGTGGATGGATACTTGATAGGTGGATGGATAGATAGATGGATGATTAATAGATGATGGATGAGTGGATGGATTGAGGATGAGAGGGGATCTAGTAGGGAAACTGGATCATGTGATTATGGAGAAGTCCTATGCTAGGCCATCTGCAAGCTGGAGAACCCGAGAAGCTGGTAGCGTGGCTCAGGCCAAGTCTGAAGATCTCAGACCCAGGGAAGCTGATGGTGGAATTCTCAGTCTACAACCAAAGGCTGGAGAACCTGGAGTGACTGGGGTAATTTCCAGAGTCCAGAGGCCAGATAGCCTGGAGTTCCAGGGACAGGAGAAGTTGACATCCTGGCTGCAGAAGAGAGATCACATGAATACCATTTCTCTGACTTTTTCTTGTGTCTGGACTCTATGCTGATTGGGTGGTGCCCAGTCACATGGGGTGAGGATGGATCCTCATTGAGTCCACTGATTCAAATGCCAGTCTCATCTGGAAACACCCTCACAGGCACCCACACAGAAATAACACTTTAGCAGCTATCTGGGTATCTCTTAACCCTGTCAAGTTTACCCCTAACATCACCTGTCACCTGGATTCCTTCAGCCTCACCTGCAGTGTTCTCCCTGCTATTAAGGCCACATTTGTAGATGGACTTCAGCATTCCTCATCACCAATGCCTCTGCTGATCACCTGTCTTGGCTTCCTTTCATGGAAGAAGGATGACCACCTTTGTGTTCTGGAGCTTGTCAGGCGAGCAGTTGTTGGAGACACCATGGCAGAGGCAGAGCCTGAGGGTGAGGACGGAGTTTAAATCAAGAAGCTCCTCCACTGACCTGGCTTTTTTTTTTTTTTTTTTTTTTTGAGACGGAGTTTTGCTCTCGTTACCCAGGCTGGAGTGCAATGGCACGATCTCGGCTCACCGCAACCTCCGCCTCCTGGGTTCAGGCAATTCTCCTGCCTCAGCCTCCTGAGTAGCTGGGATTATAGGCATGCGCCACCATGCCCAGCTAATTTTTTGTATTTTTAGTAGAGACGGGGTTTAACCATGTTGACTAGGATGGTCTCAATCTCTTGACCTCGTGATCCACCCGCCTCGGCCTCCCAAAGTGCTGGGATTACAGGCTTGAGCCACTGCGCCCGGCCTTGACCTGGCTTTTAATTCACTGAACAGTTGAAATTGACTGCTGCTTTTGTGCTTAGTGATGTTTAGTCCCTGAGGGTTCAGAGTGGAACAAAACACATATACTCTTTTTTTTTTTTGAGACGAAGTGTTGCTCTGTCACCAGGTTAGAGTGCAGTGGCATCATATCAGCTCACTGCAATCTCCACCGCCTGGGTTTAAGTGATTCTCATGCCTCAGCCTCCCAAGTAGCTGGGATTACAGGCGTGCACCACCATGCCTGACTTATATATTATTTTATATACGTATTTTCTTTAGACATTTTCGCTCTTGTCACCCAGGCTGGAGTGCAATGGTGCAATCTCAGCTCACCACAACGTCTGCCTCCTGGGTTCAAGCAATTCTCCTGCCTCAGCCTCCTGAGTAGCTGGGATTATAGGCATGTACCACCATACCCAGCTATTTTTGTATTTTGAGTCGAGACAGGGTTTCTCCATGTTTGTCAGGCTGGTCTCAAACTCCCAACCCTCAGGTGATCTGCCTGCCCTGGCTTTCCAAAGTGCTGGGATTATGGGTGTGAGCCACTGTGTATGGCCTTCTAAATTTTTTTTCTTTCTTTTTTTTTTTTCTATGGAGACAGGTCTCACTATGTTGCCTAGGCTGGTGTCCAACTCTTGACTTCCAGAGATCCTCCTGCCTCAGCCTCTCTACTAGTAGCTGGGATTACAGGTGTGATCCACCATACACAGCTGGGTTCTGGTTTATAACAATCCAGGCTGCCCTGGGGAAGATGGATATTAGGGATGAGAGTGAAGGCAGATAGACCTGGGTGGGGACCTCAAGGCCTGTCCAGGAAGTTCCTTCATGCCTCACTGGGAGCCTCCATTTTATTTATTTTGATACAGGGTCTCACTGTTTTGTCCAGGCTGGAGTGCAGTGGTGCCATCTCAGCTCACTGCAGCCTCTATCACCTAGGCTGGAGTGATCCTCCCACTTCAGCCTCATGATTAGCTGGGTCTATGGGCAGGTGGGTCTACTACCACACCTGGCTAATTTTTTTTTTTTTTGTAGAGATGTTATCTTGCCATGTTGCCCAGGTTGTTCTTGAGCTCCTGAGCTCAAGCAGTCCACCTACCTTGGCCTCCCAAAGTGCTGAGATTACAGGCACAAGCCTCCATTTATTACCCAGAGCATTTTCTAAAAATTCAGTGAGATAAATGTCATAATAAGCTGTGCCCTAGTCCTGAGTAAGTGCTGGGCAGGTTTTAGTTGTACAAGTTGTATTTATTCATCTCTACACTTCCATCTTGCCAGGGAGGGTGTGGTAAGAACTGGCTCACTGGGCTTCAAAGCAGGCCACCTGAAAGGGGGCTGGCTCTGTGAGTACCTTGGTGTTTAGGGATGCTCAGCTTGGGGCCAGGGCATCATTTCCTAGGGACATTGATAGATGGATGACATGCTTTATTCCCAGAGGTATAAGCCAGATCTGGCACCTCTAACCCTTGTGGAACTGGAGAGAATGACAAGAACAACCCTGTCCTAGGCTGGAATTTCCTGGTGTGGCTCTTTATACCCAGATCCCTTTAGTTTACTGGCGAAGGGAATGCAGCCCATGCAGCTCAGGGCTGCTGGGTTTCCTAGGCTCAGGGACTGGGTGAGGAAGGCCTGGGCTTGGGGGTCTACATGGCTTCTTGGACCCCTTTACAACTTTTCTTCACCCCTCAGTGACTTCCTCTCAAAAGTTAGGTGTGCTGGGGCATGGTAGCTCATGCCTGTAGTCAGAGCACTTTGGAAGGTGGAGGTGGGAGGATCACCTGAGGTCATGAGTTTGAGACCAGCCTGGCCAACATGGTAAAACCCCATCTCTACTTAAAAATACAAAAAGTAGCTGGGTGTAGTGGTACTTGCCTGTAATCCCAACTACCTGGGAGGCTGAGGCACAAGAATTGCTTGAACCTGGGAAGCAGAGGTTGAAGTGAGCCAAGATCACACCACTGCACTCCAGCCTGGGGGACAGAGTGAGACTCCATCTCAAAAAAAAAGAAAAGGGCAGGTGTGAGCAATCTCCCTGCTTCTACCTTTGGGTTTGAAAATGCAATGCTTCATTGGTTTGTGTGTAATAGTTTTATGTTCTCTTTTTTGTGTATGGCCTCTTAGAGCTTAGGGCCATTTTGGATCGTGGTTTTGGCTGGTGTGGCTATAAAATGCTTCTGTGACTCCAGAAGAGTTTGGCTTTTTTTTTTTTTTTTAAGTTAGGCATAGTTACCATACAGCCAGCCACTCCCTTCCCAGACATCCACCTAAGAGAGTTGAGAACATATGTTTATAAAAGACTGATACAGGAATATTCTTAGCTACTTTGTTTGTGACAACCCAAAGTGGAGGTAAGCCAGACATCTATTAGCAAGTGAACAGACAGATTTACCCATTATGTGCATCTGCACAACTGAATACTAAGTTATGTACTAGAACGAACTATTGGCTGGGCACAGTGGCTCATGCCTATAATCTCAGCACTTTGGGAGGTTGAGGTGGGTGGATCACCTGAGGTCAGATTAAGACCAGCCTGTCTAACATGGTGAAACCCCATCTCTACTAAAAATACAAAAATTAGCCAGGTAATGGTGGTGTGCATTTGTAATCCCAGGTACTCAGGAGGCTGAGGCGTGAGAATCGCTTGAACCTGGGAGGCAGAGGTTGCAGTGAGCTGAGACCGCGCTACTGCACTCCAGCCTGGGTGACACAGCAAGACTCCATCTCAAAAAAAGAAAAAATAAAAAGGATGGTCATGGTGGCTTACATCTGTAATCCTAGTACTTTGGGAGGCCAAGGCGGGTGGATCACCTAAGCTCAGGAGTTCAGGACCAGGTTAGGCAAGACGGTGAAACCCCATCTCTACTAAAAATACAAAAAAATATTAGCTGGGCAAGGCAGCTTGCACCTGTAGTTCCAGCTACTTGGGAGACTGAGGCAGTTGAGCCCGGAGGCAGAGGCTGCAGTGAACGGAGATTGTGCTATTGCATTCCAGCCTGGATGACAGAGTGAGAATTTGTCTCTTTAAAAAAAAAAAAAAAAAAAGGCTGGGGATGATGGTGGCTCATGCCTGTAATCCTAACACTTTGATATTTTGGGAAGCCAAGGCAGGGTGGATCACCTGAGGTTTGGAGTTCAAGACCAGGCTGACCAACATGGAGAAAACCCATCTCTACTAAAAATACAAAAAAAAAAAAAAATTGAAGAGAAATAAAGACAGAGTTTGTCAACACACCTTGGTAAAGTTAAGGGACAAGGGTATAAGAAGAATGTGCTGTACAGGCAGAATGCAGGAGGTAGAAGTGATCTTAGGGAACACGGAGTCACAGAAGAGCAAGGAGATGCCATTTCTTGCTCAACTCCAGTCCACTCGCAGCAGTCACCTGGAGGGCTGCTTGCACCTAACTCAGTGGGAAAGAACGCCATGAGTGACTATAGGTGTCTGCTGTGTGCATGGGAAGGAAGGAAAGGGCCCAGTATTTGAGATGCTTGAGATCTAACCCCTTCATTTTCCATATGACAAAATCTAGAGCCAGGGAGGTGAGCTAACTGGCTTCGGGGTCACACTGTGAGCTGGCAGTAGAATGTGGCAGGTGCTGTGACTCTCAGAAGAACATTCCTCTAAACCAGGGGCTGGCCAAAAATGGACTGAGGTCCACATATGGCTCACTTTTGCCCAGTCAGGAGTTCAGTGGCATAATCTTGGCTCACAGCAACTTCCGCCTTATGGGTTCAAGTGATTCTCCAGCCTCAGCCTCCTGAGTAGCTGTGACCACAGATACACACCCCATGCCCAGCAAATATTTTGTTTTTAGTACAGACTAGGTTTTACCGTGTTGGCCAGGCTGGTCTCAAACTCCTAGCCTGAAGCAACCCGCCTGCCTCAGCCTCTCGAAGTGCTGAGATTACAGGCATGAGCCACATTGCCCAGCCAGATTTCTTTCTTTTTTTTTTTTTTTTTTTTTTTTTTTTTTTGAGATGGAGTTTTGCTCTTGTTACCCAGGCTGGAGTGCAATGGCGCAATCTTGGCTCACCACAACCTCCGCCTCCTGGGTTCAGGCAATTCTCCTGCCTCAGCCTCCTGAGTAGCTGGGATTACAGGCACGCGCCACCATGCCCAGCTAATTTTTTTTGTATTTTTAGTAGAGACGGGGTTTCACCATGTTGACCAGGTTGGTCTCGATCTCTTGACCTCGTGATCCACCTGCCTCAGCCTCCCAAAGTGCTGGGATTACAGGCTTGAGCCACCGCGCCCGGCTAGATTTCTTTTTTTTTTTTTGAGACGGAGTTTCGCTCTTGTTACCCAGGCTGGAGTGCAATGGTGCGATCTCGGCTCACCGCAACCTCCGCCTCCTGGGTTCAGGCAATTCTCCTGCCTCAGTCTCCTGAGTAGCTGGGATTACAGGCGCGTGCCACCATGCCCAGCTAATTTTTTGTATTTTTAGTAGAGACGGGGTTTCACCGTGTTGACCAGGATGGTCTCGATCTCTTGACCTCGTGATCCACCCGCTTCAGCCTCCCAAAGTGCTGGGATTACAGGCTTGAGCCACCGTGCCCGGCTGATTTCATATTTTTAATGGTGAAAAACAATCAAAACAATATTATATGACAGATACTAATTCTGTAAAATTTAAA